TGCTGTCGTGCGGAACGACGTCGATGGGTTACGTTTGTCGGTTTGCGGAAGACTGTGCGCAATCGCCTGATTCGTTTGTTTTTGTTCCACTCCAAAGCCTGTCTCTTATACACATCTAGATGTGTATAAGAGACAGACAGATGACGGGCTGTGACTAACTATTTCGTCTGAGTTTCTCCGACTCATCAGGAGAATAATGAAATATATATATATATATATATATATATATATATATATTTTTTTTTTTTTTTTTTTTTTTTTGCCCCGGGCAGCCAACTGACCCGGGGCCACTCTTATATATATATATGTATATTGCAACCCCATCCTTTTCCATAAGAAGCCTTCAGCACTGGGCTTGAACAACACTCTGACGGGGCCCAAATACAAAAACAAAAACGTCGCAGTAAAAAACGACGGCAATATATTCATTTTTGCCGGTTTTTGTTTTCTTTTATTACTTTATTTTCTCCTTTCTGAGGCAGTGAGTATATAAATATATATATATATATATATACATACCGGGCAGTTCTGTTTGTGACGATATATATATGTATATATATATTATGGCGAGTCATACATACAGATACATTTATCACGAGTCGAAGATTTATATTATATGTATATTTGTATATAACTATTGTATGACATATAATATTTATGTACAAATAGACATATAATATAAATCATCAACTTTCGATATATATATATATATATATATATATATATATATATATATATATATATATATATATTTATATATATGTATATATATATACGGTAACCAGCGTTCGGGCCACTTGGGGATGCGTTCGGCCGTTCGGGCCGAACGCGGACCCAAAAAACAAAAGACGTGGGCGAGCACATTTCGACACCGCCATCTTTGGCGATTTTTATTTCGTATTTGGCTTAGCCAAATGACTTGAAATCTGCCCCCGCATGTACCTCACGTTATTGAGAACTCGCAAAAAAAAAAAATTGAAAAAAAATAATTATTTTTAGTCCCCGAACAATTTCTTGCAGGGGCCGAACGCCGTCGGGTTCGGACCTCGTACGGGAACCAAAACGCCTGTACGTACGGAGGTCTGCTCGGGGACCTCCATATATATATATATATATATATATATATATATATATATATGTATATCGTGCATGATTGGTGCGCGACTTTATTCTCGACCCATAATGTGTAATGTGTTCACGACTCTTGTTTTTTGTTTTGTGTTTCCAAATATCACGTCGCTCAACCTATGGCTGTGTCATGAATCCTCATGATGACCGAAAAATGTTTTCGCTTCGTGAGCATATGCGCCGTCTGCCACCATGCATAACGGACGACCTCGACCAGTCAAATGCAGCAGGCAATGAAGGCAAATATGACCTCGACGAGATAGATAAAGATATAGAGACGGTGACAAACGACCTCAACAATGCATGTGCTGCGCTGTCGACATCGTATTCCCGGGTGCAAACAATTGTGTCGTCCTTGCGAAAAAAAAAAATGGAATTGGATAATCAGGAGGCTATTTGCACAATACGTGAGCAACGTCTGTTGTGCGAGGAGGGCAAGTCACGTGTCGATTCGGCTAACCCTTCGACTCCGTTCCTTGTGTCGGGCTGCGACATTCATGGCTGCACTGAAGTCCAACTCGGTTTCTCTTTGTCGCAAGCTGCGGCCTTTCTATCAGGAAGAACGACCCAGACGCCCGACTCAATCAGTATATACCGGGACAACTCTGGGTCGTATGTTTCTGTGTCGTGTCGGGGTTCTGGTCAAGACGAGGATCATAACTCTGCTGGTTTTGAAGGACGAAATTCTCAAAAGTCGAAGAAACAAAAACAGTTCGGTCGTTGTCCCGGGCCCTCGAACTTGGACTCGTGGATCTAATTGAAAGCGTAGTGCTCGGAAATAACAACCTCAACGGTGTTGGAGTTCTAATGTCAAAGTTGAAGCCTCCAAACGGTGTGTGGAGGCTTGTCGTTTGTCCGCTATACTCTGTCTGCAATATCGAACATTTTTATGGATATTTGTTTCCCATGTTCCTCGCACCGCCACCGACTTCCACCGCATCTGTTGCAGATACTCACGACGCGACACTATAATGGAGCAGGTACAACCTCAAGCACCCATCAATGAAGATGATGGGGACATGGAATACGGCCGTCGACCAAGACGTAGAGTTATGCGCGGTCGAGGGAGCCCCGGGCTTGGGCCAGCAGTTGTCGCGGCGCGTCGCCCACGAGTTCCTCCCCCTCGACTTGATATGTGCTCAACAACATGACTGCGAATCATGCTGTTCAACACATATGAGTTCCGTTATCCTAACCTTAGTCAAAATGGAGCGTGTGTGCTGACGCCGGCCGCCTTATCTGGAGTCAAAAACTTGAGACTTGAGGAGACAGAGAGAGACAGAGAGAGAGAGAGAGAGAGAGAGAGAGAGAGAGAGAGACAGGGGACTTGATATGTGGTGAACAACATTACTGTTCTTCGTGAATCATCTCTAGCATTATGTTATCGACCTCTCTCTGTCTCTCTGTTGGGGTCTCTCTCTCTCTCTCTCTCTCACATGCATATGATGTGACATACAGATCTGTAGTTTATATTGTTCGTATTATCGTATGTCGGCTGTCAGTTGCGTGTGTGTGTGTGTGTGTGTGCAACAAATATGTATAGACTATTCAGCGGAAACGAAAGCGACATTCACACCTTGTTTTTTGTCGACCCGCGGACACACACACACACACACACACACACACACATACACACATACACACACACACACACACACACACACACACACACACACACACATATGCCTTGTATTCCTCACCTTTGCGTTATGCGAATCCGTTGCGTTATGCAAATCCGTAAATAAAAAGAAGAAGAAGAAGAGCAATAAGAAGAAAAAGTAGTAGAAGAAGAAGAAGAATACAAAAGAGAAGAAGAAAAAGATGAAGAAAAAGAAGAACAAGATGTGCTGATTGAAGAAGAAGACACACCTTGTGTTCCTCACCTTACGCAAATCCGTTGCTCTGTTGCTTACGGTGGAGCTTTGTGTGTTCGGCAGCTTCTTCGACTCCCGATTCGCAAGCAACGACTATGCGGTTGGCGCCAATAATTTTCCAATGCTTCCATTCCACGAAACTCCGTACGGGCGAGAACGTTTATTATCACGAGTCGCAAAACTCGGTTACAGAGCCTGTCGAACAGGTGTTGGAGTACAAAGACAGACACAAAATGGAGGATTGGCATTTTGTTGTTGCCATCGAAGATGAACGAGTCATAAGACTAACAACAGAGACTTACATTCATCATCATGCCATCGACCACATTCGGGTGCTCATGTCCAGACCCACTACGTACTTCAATAGCCTCGTTCTCAATCTTGTCGAAGAAGATAAAATGTATGATATTGTTTACCCACTTGTGTTTCGTATGTTGGAAACACACTACGACACTGTGTATCGGGACGGTGTGTGGCGGCTTGTTGTAAGTGCGCCATATTTTGTTTGCAATGATGAGGATTTCTCGACCAAGTTCATTCCATCGTGTGGGATTCGACGTTGACTTGCGGAACGATGCTTGCAGATTACCCACACCACAACTCCGAAGTGGATCGGCGTGCGCGGGCTCGTGCACCCGACGACGACGAGGAGTCGGTGAACCGCGGGCGCCGAGTTGCTTGCAGAGGGGCGATGCGTGGCTGAATGCGGTGCAAATTCATTGCAGTCTCGTTGGTCGAGACTACATAGACATACGTGGGACAGAGAGACAAGATGAATCAGTTTGTCGAGACTCCAGTAACATAAGAGAGAGAGAGAGAGAGAGAGAGAGAGAGAGAGAGAGAGAGAGAGAGAGAGAGAGAGAGAGAGTGAGCCGGATGGAGATGAAGGGAAAGATGTTCGTATTGTTTTGCATGTATCAATTTTGCCACAGGGGGACATATCTACGTATAATCTCTCTCTCTCTCTCTTTCTCTCACAACCAGTTCAAAAATTGCAACCATTTCTCACAAAGTTCAAAATTACAACCAGTTCAAAATTACAAACAGTTCTCATAACCAGTTCTAACAACCAGTTCTCACAACCAGTTCGAACAACCTGTTATCACAACAAGTTCAAAAATTACAACCAGTTCGAACAACCAGTTCTCCAAACCAGTTCGAACAACCAGTTATCACAACCAGTTCAAAATCGAGGACATAACATTCTTATGATTACGACGACGATAATGGGCATCAATGTGGTATGTGACACTATCACTCCTGCGCAACGGACACCTCCTGCGAAAGAACGGCGCCGTCAAAGTCGAGGCGGTGAGCGGCACCATCGTTGTCGGAGTCGGAAGACGACTTTTCGTCATCTGAAGCACTTTCGCTTCCCGCCTCAACGAAAACATTGTCACCTTCAACCACAACACCCTCCACCGCACTTGCAACGGCATCAGGGAGTCCATAATCAACTTCCTCATCATAATGGTCAATAACTGGGTCGTCGACGTCCGATTGGTGCAAAATGTTACGTGCCCAATCTCCGACCCGAGGGCTGCCAAAAACTTCAGTGGCAATGTCGAAGCGCCACGACGTATCCCGTGCGGCGTATATATGCTGTGCTGCGGAACGACGTCGATGGGTTACGTTTGTCGGTTTGCGGAAGACTGTGCGCAATCGCCTGATTCGTTTGTTTTTGTTCCACTCCAAAGCGGTGCAACACACGCGTGCCTTATATGACTTGGGGAAGTTCAGGTGTTTCGTTGTGTACTTGTTGATCACGGAGTGGAAGCATTGGTTGTTGAAGGTCATCCTCTCACGTGTGTAGTAGGCCATCTTCGTATTCGAAGCGAACTGTTCAAGACAGCGCGCGATGGCGAAATGAAAACGTCCCCCCGCCTCGTACAATGACTCTCTGTTCGGACCTCCGACCGCTTTGCACAGGTTGGACAACTCTTTATCGCAACGGGAATGATCCCCGACCCAATGATCGGCGAGGTGTTGCACATGAGTGACCAACACATCGCCATCATCATCCTTTGCCCGCTCGCGCAGCCTGCAAGCGTCGTACAACCACTCCTTCGCCTCCTCCGCCGCATTGCAATGCAGTGTTTGCAACGCGTCGATCTCGACGACATCATCTGGCAACGCTTTCCTTGCTTCGTTGGGGAATAGCACACCCCAAACAATCTCAATGAGTTCATCATTTTTTCTCGTGGACACCCCTGCCACGTGTACACATTTCGATTCGAGTCAAAGTTCGAGCTCCTTCTTCGTGAAACACTTCTCCTCGCGCACATGCTCGCAAGCCCCGACTGCAGCTGGCTTGACAGTCTTCATGCCGCGCAGAGCCTCTCGCAAGTGTTTGACCAAAGTCTTTGCTTTGTGCCACATACACTTTTGTGAGTCAATGTTCATTCGCCGCAATATGACGTCAACCGCGCCACAATCATCATGCACAACCTCTGCGATTATGAAGTTCTTCTCGTCCTTCAACCGATGAAGCAGTTTCTCCACATATTGTGTCTCCAGCTTCCATGACGATTCGTTCCCCCGGAGCATTGTCTCCGTCCCTACGATCATTCCTGACTTCAAATCAACCCCCGTAACCGTACAATGTTGAGCGTCACAAGATGAATCGTAACGCCCGTTAACCAAAACGACGACGGGATTGTTCGACCTACGCAATCGCGCTATGACCTTGTCGAAGCTCTTTTGAGTAACCCGTTCGACGTGTTGCAGCCACTGTCGGAAACCTGGGCCGTCATCACGAAAAAAAATATAGAAAGTTTCTTTCCTAACCTTCCTCATCCCTAAGCCTCGCAGGAGGTTATTCAATTGAGTGTAAGTCATTCCCACCGTCAAAGTGGAGTGAAACAATTGAGTCCCAACCCTCGAATTTCTCACCCCGCCCGGTGAAACAACCTTCGCGAAACTCGAGTGCCAAGTGCACCCTTTCCCGAACTCGAATTGCAACTTGCAAATGTGACACGGATAATGGATCTTCTTGATCGTCACCTCAACGTTTTTCCCGTGCCGAGGACACGTTTGCTCGAACATCCCGAGAATCTGTAGAAGTTTGACCGGCTCAATGAAAACGACATGAGGTCTGGCCTTAGCATCCCACATGGTCATTTGGTTCCTCACGGTCAATCTTTCAAACATCGGACCATTATCAGAATATCCCGGCTTGCCGTCGCGCCATTTCAAGGCGTCACTGCGAGGTCTGCCACCTCGCGACTTCGGTGTCGCCGTTGCATCCGATCCTTGTCCGCATGAACCCCCATGGCCAGACGATTGTTCGCCGGGGCCGTACTTTGACATCAGTTCATCAATGTGAACGGAACTCCACTCCATGAGCTGATCGAACACGTCCTCGTACGAACAATGAATTTTCTTCTTATCTTTGAGTGCGAGTCGACAACTTCTTCCCCATCGCCTTCGCAATCTCACCTAGGCGATTTTTTTGATCAAGTCTGCATCTCACCCAGTGAGGCTTGCCTTCACGAGGTGTACTGGACCTCGTACGGGGCGACCGAGGCGATAAACTCATCCCAGCCTCGCTATCATTAGACAGGGAAAGAACATCGCGTGCATGATTGGTGGAAACCAGAGTGCATGATGTCGGCTGCACTGCTTCGATCGGCGAACGCGTGTCTTCTGTTCGACGAACGGGATCCTACGCAAAGACACCCGCAATGGGGACCGCTCCGGTGTTGTCATGGCCCGAAGATGGGAACGACCGCGGCAAACCAAATGGATGCGCGGCGTCCGAATGACTTTGTTGAACACCGCACATGGTCTGACTTGCGGACCAAAGCGTCGGCAACATCGCTGCGAGAGAGCCCATGGGCGAAGAAAATGGAGGACGAGAAGAAACCACAGCGGATTGCGCAAACGGAGACGTTGAAGGATCGCCAACGAAAGTCGGGAGAGTTGGGATTGCAGCAATGGCTGCGCGCATGTGACTAAGGAGAGGAGTTTGTGTGACATTTGCCGAATTCAGCAGAGGAGGGAACGACAGAACCGCCATTCTGTCCTCCAAACGCTGCCTGGTTGCAGGTCTCTCCAATATACAATCCGTTCGAGTACGGCCGCGTGAATCCAAAAACCCTCTCCCTCGACCGCGTGAAATATTATTGTACACCGGAGAGCCTTGCAAAGAAGAGAGAGCGCGTGAGGCGGATGGAGATGAAGAAAGAGGAGTAGGAAGCAACGGGGATTTTGGCGACGGCGGCAGAGCTGCAGGAGGTTGTTGGCGGTCCATGTTGATGCCCCTGCTATATGGATGCGGAAGGCCAGACGCACTTGCACACGCGAAAGCACAGTATCACGGATGACCTGCGTCCCAACACACACACACACATGTATATATATATATATATTTATATATATATATCACATATATATATATTCAAGAACCAACGCAGTTGACGACATGTACACAATCACACCTAATAAGACAATTGTGCCGCTCGATTTGTGCAGCATGATTCGCGTTCATATATATATATATATATATATATATATATATATATATATATATATATATATATATATATATATATATATATATATATATATATATATATATATACCGGCGTTCGGGCCGGGCCGAACGCCCGAACGTACGGGACCCCTTCTGAAGGCGTTCGGCCGTTCGGGCCGAATGCAGACAAAAAAAAAATAAAAAAAAAATAAAAAAATCAAACAATTCCGAAAAAATACATATGTTATGGAGAAACGTAAACTCAACAACATTTGCCTGGGCACTATATATAAATTCCTTACCTTATTTGAATTAAAAATAAATACAGAAAATAAACACTATGATAAAAATAAGAAAAAATATAAAAAAAATTAAAATGAGTGAGTGTGCCAGCACCTTTTCGACACCGCTATCTTTGCCGATTTTTACTTATTTTTTGGAATTGACAAATGCCCTGAAAATTTACAGATATGTGTTTTACATAATCAATAACTCATTAAAGTTTTTTTAAAAGAAAATAATTTTTTTTAGGCCCCGAAATAAAGTGAAAACAAAACAAAATAGTGAGTGGGCGAGCACGTTTTGACACCCCCATCTTTGACCTTTTTTTTTATGTTTTTTTGGCTAAACAGAATGCCTTTAAAATTTAAAGGCATTTAGGTTACATCATAGAGAACTTACAAAAACAAATTCAGTAAAACAAACTTATTTTTAGGCCCCCTAACGGGACCCCGAACGCCCGAACGTTCTGGGCCAGCCCGGGGGCCCCCGAACGTTCGGTCAGGTAACCCTGTATATATAGATATAGATATACATATATTTATATATATAGAGTTCACTGGACGAACGTACAGAGACCCCTAAGTAGACCCCCGAACGTTCGGGCATTCCGGTACCCGTACGGGGCCCGAACTCCAAAGGGTATGGACGGGTGGAAAAAATTATTCTCGTACCTAAGAATCATTATTGTTTTCTTATTTTTTTATTTGTGAGTTTTCTGTTATATAAGCTACGTCACTTCCAATTTTCAAGTCATTCTGTGGAGCCAAACAAAAATGCAAAATCGCAAATGTTATTTACTTTATTATTCTATGGAGCTTAACAGTAATGCAAAATCATAAATGTTTTTTTGGAAACCTTTTTTTTTCCATATATTTATGTTTTTTTATTTTTAATATTTTTTATTATTACTTTTTTTTTGCTTTCGCGTTCGGACGAACGTCAGAATGCGTCGAGAGGGGGTCCCAAACGTTCGGGGATTCGGGTTGGGATGTTCAATCCGTCCCGAACGACGTCACAAACAGATTCATGATTGTCAAAAAAAAAACCAGTTGAATGTTTTTTTATCTTTCATTTCGCAAAAAAAAAATTATATATATATATATATAGTTGCCAGGCCGAACGTACGTAGACCCCTAAGCTGAGCCCCGGACGTTCGGGCTTTCGGTTCCCCGTACGGGGTACGGGGCCCAAACTCGAAGGGGTTCGGACCCCGCAAAAAAATATTTTGGTACCAGAAAAATATATATATATTTTTTCTGAATTCTTTTTTCTGAGTTCTCTATTATGCAAGCTACCTTTCTCCCATTTTTGAAGTCAATCTGCGGAGTTAAACAATAATGAAAAATCGTCAAACATGGTGGTGTCAAAACTTGCTTTCCCACTTACAAATTTGTTTGTTTTCTCTTTTCACTTTTTGTTTTCCCTTTATTTCGGGGCCTGAAACAAACTATTGTTTTTTCAAACTTTATTTCTACGTTGTCTATGTTAGATACATATGTATAAAATTTCATGGCATTTGACAAAGCCAAAAATAAATGAAAAACTGCCAAAGATGGAGGTGTCCAAAACTTGCTCGCCCGCGCAATAATTTCATTTTCGTTTTTTTTTTTCTTATTTTTAATAGTATTATTTATTTATCGTATTACGTTTTTAGTTCAAATTTGATAACGAATTTGGATGTACTCTTGAGGCTTATGTTGTTTACTTTATTCTTCTGCATGACATATTTTTATCTCGGATTTTTTTTGAAAACTAGATTTTTTTTTTATTTTTTTTTTTTTGACTATTGTGTTCATGATCTGGCTTCAGTGTGTCGAGTCAGTTTGCCAAGGGTTCAGCCTCCTTACGAGTCCGTCAAACTCCGACAAAACAGTTTGTCACATGCCCCTCGTTTGTTGTCCTCTTCTCTCTTTCTCTGCCAACGGTTTAGCGGGCACTTATGTTTGTGACTATATATATATATATATATATATATATATATATATATATATATATATATATATATATAATGAGTCG